AGTAAGCTTCAGTGCAGCCTGGGACCCTAGCTCTTTCTATAACAAGTTGTTTGGCATGAGGCCCAATCAGGCCAAGGAACTGCAACTGGGCTCAAGGAACAAAACAAAAGGTCAACTTGTTTTTGCAATTGTCTGTTGTTTTTCAATAACTAATGTATAGGAACAGATTGAAATAGAGATTTCTCCGAAACAGTGCTGGATGAACACCTCAAGGGGCTCACACAACCTGTTCCAGGACTTGGTGACCATCGTTTGTGTCCATGTTCAGTGGAGTTCAAATTTAATTTTTTTTTTTTTTGCAATGGAGTCTCACTCTGTCGCCCAGGCTGGAGTACAGTGGCCCAATCTCAGCTCACTGCAACCTCCACCTCCTGGGTTCAAGCAATTCTCCTTCCTTAGCTTCCAAAGTAGCTGAGATTACAAGCACTTGCCACTGTGCCCGGTTCATTTTTGTATTTTTAGTACAGATAAGATTTCACCATCTTGGCCAGGCTGGTGTTGAACTCCTGACTTCAGGTGATCCACCCACCTTGGCCTCCCAAAGTGCTGGGATTACAGGCATGAGCCATAGCACCTGGCCAAATTTATGTTTAACTATTCCTCCATAGCAACATAGTAAGACTCCATCTCTATATAAATAAATAAATAAAATTTAAAAATTTTAAAACTGGCCAGTTTCTGTGGTCAGTTTAAAAATTAGCCTTTCTGCCGGGCATGGTGGCGTGTTACTGTAGTCCCAGCTACTTGGGAGGCTGAGGTGGGAGGATCGCTTGAGCCCAGGAGTTCTGGGCTGTAGTGCGATATGCCGATCGGGTGTCTGCGCTAAGTTCAGCATCAATATGGTGACCTCCCGGGAGCAGGGTCCACCAGGATGCCTAAGGAGGGGTGAACCGGCCTAGGTCAGAAACGGAGTAGGTCAAAACTCCTGTGCTGATCAGTAGTGGGATAGCACCTGTGAATAGCCACTGCACTCCAGCCTGGGCAACATAGTGAGACCCTGTCTCTATTGAAAAAAAAAAATAGCCTTTTTGATTCGTGTGTTATGATGTCTTACTGTGGGTCCAATTTGCATTTATTTCTATGATGACTATTTATTGACCACTTTGGTATTCTGTTTTGTGAAATGTCTGTTCAAGTGTTTAATCCACTTGAACTGGTATTTAAACAGATTTTCAACCAATTCCTCTGTTTTCAGCCATACACACTGTTGGTAGAAGTATACATTGATATCACAATTTTTTACAAATCTCTTTAGCATTATCTGCCAAAGTTGACCACTGCACTACATACCTGTGATCCAGCAATTCTGTTCCATTTATGTACCCAGCAAAAGTACATATATTTTTGCATCAAAAGACACCTAAAAAATGTTCACAGCAGCATTATTCATAGTAGCTGCAAACTGAAGCAACCCAAATATTTATCAATAGGAGAATGCATAAATTGTAGAATATTTATACAATCGAATGCCAGACAGGAATGAGAGACCTCAAACCACAGCTACATGCAACAACATGAATAAATATCATTTGGCTTTTTAAGCCGAATGCAAGAGTTACACATGTGATTCCATTTATTTAAAACATCCAAAACAGGTAAAACTCATCTATGGTGATACAAATCAGAACAGTGGTTATCTCTGAGAGACAATGATTTGAAGAAACTGGGAAAGTCTTGGGAAATTGGTAACATTCTATGTCTGGATCTGGTGATGGTTACTTTGGTATGTTGATGTGTTCCATGAATAAGAATACATTGAGCTGTACACTTATTTGTATACTTTTCTGTATATAATTTTATCCTTCAATAAAAATTTTCTTTAAATTAAAAAAAAGCAGCTACATTCTCTTTTCAGCTTTGAGCCATCAGGCAACTGTCACTACTTACCTTATAGTTTTTCTTTATATAAAATAGAATTATTTGGGGCAATAATGTAAATAATTTTGTGTATAAACAAATACAAAACTGAAGTTACCAAAATCCTCTCTTTGTGGCACTTATCATTATTGATCAATGCCAGGCCCTTCTTTATATTTTTGATCCCCTTTTTGAAATCTCTGATTTCATTTCTCTCCCTCATAGATATCCACTCTTGCATATTTAATGAATGACTTTGCAATTTGTCCTCCACGCACACTTGCACCCATAAACAATATTTGGTATTGCAGTAAGACTTGGGCTGGACTTCTATTCAACATTTTTTTTATTTCTCTCCGAGTTAAGTAGATCGTGTCTATTCCTGCTAGCAGCTGTAGGGTTTTACATGTATATACTGTTTCTTTTTTTATTTTTCTCTGCTGTCCTCCATGTATATACTATTTTATTTATTCCCCTGTTGGTATTTAAATGCTTCCAACTCTTTGATATATAACCATGTGTGATGAACATCTGCTTGTCTCTTTGGGTTACCACGTGAGAATTTTTCTGCCTAGATTCATTGTCATAACTATTCTCAAATTGCTCTCTAGGATGGCAGTATAATTCCCACCAGCTATGTGAGCAAAAAATGTTTTTCTCACATCCCAGATAGTATCTGATAGTGTCTAACCTAAATATTTTTGCCAATATGATGGGTATAAATATCTCATTGTTGTTTTCATTTGTATTTGTCTGATTACTGCTAAAGTTGACATCTCCTTGTATGCTAACAAGCCACTGAAGTGTCCCCATCTGTGAATTGCCTATTAATTTTTGTCCGTTTTAAAAATTGGATTTCTTTTGCCAATTAACATTCTTATATATGGAAACTACTGTAACCCAACATTTTTAAGATTGTTCCTCTGTTTTTTTCTAATAATTTCCTGGTTTTAAGTTTTAGTCGTGAAAACATCTGGGGCTTATTTTTGGCTGCAGTGTTTGCCATGGATCTGCCTTTATTGTTTTTCCATATAACAGGCCCATCTAATAAATATTCTTTTCTTTCCCTATCTGGTCCTTAAGGCTACTGTATAATGCAGGGCTCTGTTGGTGGGCTCCAGCATGTTCCCTTACTCATGTATCCGTTCTCATGCAAGTGTCACACCGTTTTAATGACACATACTGCTTTGTTACGTCCCTAAATATATGGCAGGGCAAATTTCTCCCCTTTTAGAATTGTCCTATACAGGGCTTTTATTCTATATGAAATATAGAATCATTGTACAATTTTCCAAAAGTTCTGTTAGGATTCTAATCTCAATACATTAGGCATATATATTGATCTGGGTAGAGGTGACGCCTTAACGTATTAAACATTCCCATCCAGGAAAATGGCCTGTCTCCCGGTTTACTCAGGCCTTCTTTTAAGGTCTTTAGGAGAAATTTAAATATTTTCTCCACAAAAGCCAAGGGCATTTTTGCGAGTGTGACCTCTGGATACTTTACATTTTCACTGATATTGTAAATATGTTATTTTGTGTTGCATAGACAATGCTCATATAAAGGAACATTACTTATTTTTGTATTTGATTTTGAATACGATGACCTTGCTGGACTCTCTTTAACACTTTCTTTGTGTTCAGTTCGTTGATTCCCTTGGGTCTGCCATGAAAATGGTTGTGTCCTCTGCTCGCTGAGGCGCTGATTCTCGGGCCAGGCAGCCTCCGGTTGCATCTGTGCCTGCCCTGGAGCCCGAGCCCTTGGCCCCGGCCTTCTCCACCCGCGGTCCCGCCAGGTGCAGCGGCAGCGCCTGGCCCCAGCCAATGGCAGCGCGGACTCACCGGACCCGGCCAGGAGCGACCAATCCCGCCGCTGCCTCCTCCCCTCGCCGCCAACTCGGAAACGGGAACGCCAGGCCGCTGGAAAACTTTGGGCAAGATGGCCCGGCGGTGATTTCCGTGGCGGACTCCTGCGCCCGGCCTCTGCGCCGCAGGCCCAGCCCCCGAGCCTCGCACTTGCGGCCGCCCCGACCCGGCCCCGGCCCCTCCTGCCCATGGCGGTGGCCGAGCTGTACACGCAGGTAGGAGGGTCCGCCGGGCTCCCGGGGGTGCTGGGTGGGGGGGCCGGCACTGCTAACGCTGACTCGACCTGGCGCCCGGCCCACACCTGCGCGCCTCACTCGAGCAGAGCTGGCGGGCGGGCTCGCGCTGGGGGCCGCGGGGACCGGGGGCACAAGCGAGCGTCGCCCCTCCAGCTCCCAGGCGTGCTCCGTCGCTGCCCGCGGGGAAGCCCACTCCTGGCCCCGCGCCCTGGCCCGGGTACCCTGGGGGTGGGAAGACCCTGTGGGAGGGGCCCCCTCCTCCGCCGCTGCAGCCTAGGGGCCTAGAATTCCCAGTCCCCAGGGGTCGCGCGTGCGTCCCCATCTCGCGGGACTGGAGCACCTCGGCCCCTTCTTCCCCAGCCACCGGTGGAATCAGAGTTGCCCATGGGGACGTAGGAAGCGGAGACGCCGACAAGTCTCCCGGCTCCTCCTGGGACCCCATTGAACGACTTGGCATAGAAGCTTATGGTCGCAGTGTTCAGGCCGCTTTCTAGAATTCTGTGTCTTCAAAGTGCATGAACGTGCATGTAAGATCATCAGATGCCTAAAGCTGAAGCAGCCTGGGCCACAGGCTTGAGGGCACTGTAGTGGCACCAAGCGCTTGGGGAGCCTAGGGGCCACGAGGTGCAGTCGAAGGCTCTTCGCCTAACATGTGTACTGTTAGCAAAAGTACGAACACTACAGTTTCTAAAGCGCCTTTCACATACCCTGACTCGGGACAGCACTGGAGCATTAGTCAGAAACTTCCTCTTTCTGCTGGCAGGGGCTCCACCTCTTACCTCGGAAGGGCAGCGTTCCCGCAGGTGCCCCAAACCCTCTGAGATGGGCTTGGGTAATTATTTGGATAAAGGGAGTGTGACAGTGTTAGCACTTTTGGAAAGAAAAAAATCCATTTGAATAGCCGTAAAGTCTGATCCTCCTGTACACCAGCGGGGGAAATCTAGAGTCCTCAGTACTCAGACGAGTGGGACTGGAATCCATCTATTTCCCCGCACACATGCTGTAGCTTTCTACTTTAAAAGACACTTTCGCTGTATATAGAAAAGATAGTTATAAGAAATCATGTTTCTATGGTTTAAGCAAACGTTTTTCTTCTACTTTGATTACTTAACAGTCCAAACACAAAGCAGCCAAACTGTACTTTCTCTGCTGTTGCATCCGCATTTAACTGGAGTTCTAAATGGACAGGGTTTGAATTGCCCTAGTTTTGTTCTAGCATATTTTCACCAGTGAGACTGTGAGCCCTCAGTCAGCCAGCAGTGCTTCTTCAGCCTTCAGCTTACTGGAAGTTTAAGAAAAGTATTGAACTATTTATTCTTAGACGATACTTTGGAGGACAGAGAAAAATCTGCTGCTGCACCTGCTTTAGGTGGCGATATTTCCAGACGTGGAAAGACACAGGCAAGCACCCCTATCTTTGGGTGCCTCAAACCTCAAAAATTCATTAAATGTCTAGTAAGTACCATGTACAATGTAGGAAAACTGATAGGAGTTTAAAGGTGCAAGCTTGGAGGGAATGAGAATCTGTGAATCCCAGAGACAGAAGCAGCCCTGATGGCCATCCCCACTGACCTTCTGTCCAGGTGGACACCTGCGTTCCTAGGCTGCCGGCTCCCTTCCAGGTGAGTTGTCGGCCCCATTTTGCTAGAGATGGGAAGCGGGAGGGCTGTGGCAGCCAGAGAGTGAGGTCAGGGCTTTATTCCCCAGTGTGGGTTTTGAGTGGGCACTGGCAGGATCAAGGATGGTGTTAGGACTGAGATTTGTTATGTATGACAGCAGCACCCTTGGGCTGTGGAGAAGAGATGCTGGGGTCATGTAGCTAAATTCTCAGTCAGTCCAGCTGTTGGAAAAGAATTAGAGCTGCAGTGTTGGCCATTGTTGGAAACAGATGCTCGGTGCCGCATAGAAAAATTAGCACGAGACAAAGGATTTTTAGCAATGCAATTTTTACCTCCTGGACTGCTAGCCATTTTGCCATGAGAGTACAATGAACAAAGGAAAACAGACATATTTATTTCTTACACATTTGGGGTTGTTCTTACTGCTGTGTTTGATTTCCATTGGCTGCAGCCAGACCTTACGATTTAAACTAAAACCTTTTAAGTTGGCTAACAACTGAAAACTTTTTTAAGCAGGTAAAAGCAATGGCGAGCTGGCACATGGCTGTGAGCACATTCGGCACAGATATTTTGGCTAAAGTACAAGGATGTAGAATGTACTACATGTCTGTAAGCATGGCATGTCTAACAGCTACGTAGGATAGGGCTTAACAAAGAGTTATTAGATTATTTACGATTTATTCTTCAACAAGAAAGGAAACTTTAAAGCGGAGCTTTTTAAATTCCCACAGCCATGGAGCGTGGAGGCAGGTGAGATTGAGAGGCTGGACTGGGGAGTGGGGTGGGGGATGGAGGGACCAGTCAAGGACGACATTTGAAGTTAGAATCTGTATGAAAGAGAGCAGGGTGGGGCCCTTGAGAGAATTAAGGATGTGGCATGAGGAGGAAATATTTCTTAGGAAAGTTCTGTACTTGCAGGGGTTGAAGTGGCGAGGGGGCTTCCAAGGGAAGTTGTGTTGCAGGGTGGGAGGTGTCAGAGGGAGGGGATGGGTCCTGCCGAGGTCTTCGGCTCAGAGGTGGTCACTGAAGCCAACAAGACAGTGAGGGCCTCACCAGGGTGGGAGGAGGCAGACAGGGAAGAGGGCCAGGGACAGGCCAGTGGGGAATGCATCTGTGCAGGGAGTGAGAGGAAGCAGAAGGGCTGAGATGGAGCCATCTAGAGGAGGAGCAAACAGGGGAGCTGGAGGGCACCCTGTGAGAACAAGGAAGAGGGAACTCCCAGAGAAGTCTTGGTGAGGGCAGTGATCACTGCTAAGTGAGGAGTAAAATCATCCGTCTCTCTTCAGAAGCTACGGGCACCATGCCTTAGAAATGTTCAGAGCAACAGTTCCACTATTTTGGCATCTCTCTAAGAAGAATCGGTCTGGCATTCTCTGCTTGAAGGTGTTTAGAGGCTACCATTGCTTTCAGACTCTCTGACCAGCCACGAGGTCCTGCCTCTCTCCCTGCCTTTCTGCTCTTACCTGGGCTCACGTTCTGCCAAACTTCTGCCATTCCCTCAATGCCTTGCCTGTACATTGCCACTGTGTGTCTTGGCACACGGAACTCCATGCAGTGCTTTCCATATTGCCTGTTAACAGCTCATGAACTCTGTGTTTCCCTCATTGACCAAGAGCTGCCAGTGAGCAGGGGACAGTGGGGGCTTCATAAATGTTTGATGTGCACCTGTGTGCATGACTGAATGTTTCTGCTTACAGAAAAAGTGAGGACCACAGAGACGATGATATGGATGATGGTTATTTTTATCCCTAAGTCATTGAGTACTTCTTAGGTGCCAGCTGCCATCCTCAGGGTTTTATGTGCCCTCTCTCATTTAATCTGAACCAACAACTCTGTACGTTAGATGTTCTCACAGTTTTAGAAATGGCTCAGGTCAAGTAAGTTGTTAAGGTCATGTGCAAGTGATGGAGCCAGGGTTGAAAGCCTGTGTTTTTAGTGCCTCTCACTACGACTGCCTCAGTTCAGCTGCCTTTTTTTTTTTTTTTTTTTGAAACGGAGTTTCGCTCTTGTTATCCAGGCTGGAGTGCAATGGCCTGATCTCGGCTCACTGCAACCCCCGCCTCCTGGGTTCAGGCAATTCTGCCTCACCCTCCTGAGTGGCTGGGATTACAGGCACGCGCCACCATGCCCAGCTAATTTTTTGTATTTTTAGTAGAGACGGGGTTTCACCATGTTGACCAGGATGGTCTCGATCTCTTGACCTCATGATCCACCTGCCTTGGCCTTTCAAAGTGCTGGGATTACAGGCTTGAGCTACTGTGCCCGGCTCAACTGCCTTTATTATCTTCCTCTTCTTCAAGGGATCTGACCTTTTCCCCACACACAGTGGGATTGTGGGAAGTTCATCCACTTTGTAGCTACCTCTCCTGACACCTTTTTGTTATTCTTTATAATAACTAGGTTGGAACCAACTGCAATGTCCAGCGAGAGGGGCAGAGTTGAGTAAGTTACTGAAGACTCACATGACAAAACAGCACGAAGCCATTGGAAGTACTATTTCTGAAGCGTCCATAACATGAAACTTGGTTATCTGAAACATGGGGCACAGCAATTGTATTTGTCATGTGTGGATAAGCATACAATCTGCAAACAAAGAGAAAAGACCACGTATATCGCTGCCTAAAGACTAGGTGGCTTTTTTTCGAGTAGCTGCAGAGAAGTCCCCAAGGATGAAGGCTGGGGAAGGGTCATTAGGTTTGGCCACTCGGTTTGGTCCTTGGCGTCGTTCCTGTTTGGGTAGAACTGTGAAGGGGACAGGGAAGTCCTGATGTGATCAGTGAAAGAGGGGAAACCAGCAGAGGACTGCAGTCTGAAGACAGAACAAAGGCAGCAGGTATGGGTTAACCTCAGAAAGGAGTGAGGATGGGAGGCCATGCTGGCAGGAATTGAAGGCACAGAGATGCTGAGAGAGAAAGAAGAAAGCCCAGAGGGCTTGACAGCTGCTGAGGAGGAAGAGTGGGTGGGAGCGAGGGCTTGAGAAGAGTGACAGTGCCACGAGCCTTTCCTCTGAGAGCACCCTTCCAGAACCTCAGAATCCAGGCCACCTTCCTCTGGGTGAATTTTCACACCTTGATGCCCATGTTAGTGGCATTATTCTCTAGCCTTGGTCTGCTCAGCCATGAGGACGGTGCAGTTCTTGTGGGCATCCCTCAGTGCGTCCTGGCACTATGTTAGCACTTCATTTGCACTGGTACCTGCTCTGCCCCTGGTGGGTCAAGTCAAGTCAGGGTCCTGCCCCTTACTAACTGGGCAAGTTAATTAACCTGAGTTTCCATGCCTGTATAGTGGACTGAATTGTACTTACCAGCTTGGGAGGGCACTATGAGGATTAATGCATGTAAAATCCTTAGCACAACACCTGACACATAAAGGTTACTTTTCTAAATGCTGATGCTATTATAATCATTGATTTTTTTTTGTACCTAAATAACAGACTTTATGTTTATTCCTATAAAATTTTCCATTTTGTTGCTTAGTGCTCAGTTTCTGTAACTTGTAAAAACCTTTGACTCTTGATCATCTGGAGCGAATCAATCATTTCAGCCGCTTATTTGATACATGTGTTTTGTTTTCTCATCTAAGATACTGGTAAAAGTGTTGAATGGAAGTGGGGGCAGCAGAGCTCTGTGGCATGCCTCTGGAGACCTTTTTTTTAAAGCTTGCTCTTGCTTATTAATTAGAACTCGGGTTATGACTGTTTAGTGACAGATTCACTATAGTCTTTCCACCATGTGTTTCTTTCACTTCTGCAAGAGGAAGTCACAAACTTCTTCAAAGAAGTTCTGCTGAAACTCAGATGTGCAAGGTCAAGAGAAGTGTCTTGACTAGCAGTCCAGGGCCCCTGTCTAAGATGAGATCAAGTTCAGTGTAAGATTTTTTTTTTAATGTGGCTATTCTAAATAGTTTTTAGACTTCTATGTATCATTAACAATTCTGGAAAATGAAATGTATCCATTATATTATGTATGGGTAGTTCAAAGAGAAAAAAAGGGTGAAAAGACTGAAATACTAAGTTTAGTCTTTAATTGGTGCAACTGAACCACTGGGAATTTGAATTTTTGTTCAAAAGTTGTTTATGGAGTGCTAGCTTTGGGAAGTCATTGCATGGAGTGCTAGCTATGGGAAGCCAAGCACTAAGACTCTCGAAGTTCAAATGCCAGTGGGGAAGATGGGAGGCAGCCCAGATACCTGGGGGAGGGGCCGAGAGCACTCAAGGGGAAGCATCCAGCCCTGCTAGATGGAAAGCCGCAAGGAAAGTGCCACAGATGAGGAGCGTCTCAAGCTGCTCCTTACTGTTCAGAGCTGTTTGCTAATGATGGGGAGAGGATGGGTGGGGCTAGGGTGGAAGGAACAGAAGTTCACAGCAGAAAGCCAATGAAGGCCTGCCATGTTCCAGAAAGTACTGGTGGTTTGGGATGGCCACCGGCAGAGGGTGGATTGAAAAGACGGAGAGGCCTGAGTAGGGAAATCACCCAGAATGCTAGTTGCCTAGGCTTGGCTGTTCCTGAAAAACCATGAGGTGAGATTTGCAAGGCTTTTCTCTTGCCAGGCGCCACCTACAGGAATTCCAAACAAGTACGAGTGGGTGAGGGACAGGTGTCTGTCTGTTCAAAGAAACCTGGTGCAGAGCCTGGCTTAGGATGCCCCCAGGGGCTGCTGCACCAGTTAAGAGAAGATTAACTGGTAGGGGTAGGACTGGGGGTTGATTTATGGCCTTGGCAAGGGGGCTGGTGGGTGGGGGGATGGGAGGGGCCAACAGGAGAGAGCTTTTGAAAGGCAGTCTTTCCAGCTCCTGGTGACCCTTACGCTGTTGGGGGTAGAGACACAGGGCGGCATCCAGCACTGTCCCAGGCTTCTGACAGAGAGCTAGGGAGGAGGAGCGTCAGCATCACAAGAGTTTGGAATTTATGAGTCTACGAGGACATTTAGGAGCTGACATCTTGGAGGCAATTGGAAATGTGATGTAGAGTTCCAGTGCACGATCTGGCTGGGAGGGCCCAGAT